GGGGGTGGGGGGGTGACCTTCCAGCCACCTCCAGCTGCAGTCACCAGGGGCAACAGCACTATATCCACCTGTGGCCCTGAGTGCACAGGGCCTGAGGAATAGCCCCAGGCGCTGCAGGCTGGCCTGTAAGGGGTCTGAGTCCACAGTGGCCTCCAGGCGAGTGGGGTCTCCCTGGGGCCGCTGCATCCAAATGAACAGCCACACGCCGGTCCCTGCAATGTCAGTAGTGTGTCCACACGGGCGACATTGTGTGTGTGACATTGGAGTCCCAGCTTCTGCTGGTGGCTCCTGGTGGCTCCAGAGGTCCTGGTAGACACGTTGGCCCCTCTCAGCCCCCCAGGCCTTGTCCTGTGTCCCCACCATCTGGCAGGGCCACTTGCCCCTCCTTAGGGCCCGGATCCACAGCCTGTCACCTCACTTTAGTCAAGCTGGTAAGCTCTTCTTCCAAGTACTCTCTCATGCACAGATCCCAGGCGGTGGGCGCAGGCACCTCTGGAGCATTTCCCAGCCTTCCAAGCAGGGCAGCAAGCGGACAGGATGCACACACACATCAGCAGACACCACACAAAGTCTGGACACACGGCTACTTACAGGCACCGACATACAGACACCACAGAGAGCCAGACCCACACAACCCCAGCCACACACACAACAGTAACACACCACTTACAGCTTCAGATGCGGGCACACGGAGCAACACACAAACACAAGCCCACACACAGCAGCCCAACAACTGGGTGGACACACAGGAATAAGCAGCCTGTCCCTCACACAGGCCCAGCCCGGCCCCTACCACCCCACCTGGACACTCCCAGGCCCCCAGACACCCTGCTATCCAACCACCCCCTACAGCCTGGACACCCATGTATTGACACTCCAACTTACACACACATCAACAGACCTCCCACTGCGAACCACCTGACACTCACTGAGACAGACTTGTATGACAGGGCACAGACACATGCCCCCACCACACTCAGCTACAGACACACGCCACCGACAGGTCACAGACACACTTCGGGCGGCATCCTGACCGGATGCTCACACATAGGACCATCCTGGTGACACAGGTCTGGCCTCAAGTCTCCACAGAAATCAGGTGGCCCTGAGCTGTGCTTCAGATCCCCTGTCCTCTCTGGCCTGAGAAGCAGGACTGCAGTCTCTGAGAGGAGGCTGACCCCAAGTCTGCCATGTCACCTCTGCCAGCCCCAGGTATGCACCACACCTGCTCCCAGTGTGAAGGGAGGGGAGGGGTTGCGGAGAAGAAGGCCATTACCAGTTCACACCAACTGAAGGGGTCCAAAAAGCTGTGGTTGTAAAAGGGCTTTAAAAATCACTTAACCCGGTTTTCATCGTCAAAGTAGTATATACACTTGGTAAAACAAAACAAAAGGCACGCTGTCGCTGCCATCTAGGGCTGCTCTCCCAGGAGCACCACAGGGCCCCGCCAGCAGACAAGCATGTTCTCTCCAAGTTCAGGGGCTAGAAATCCAAATTCTGGGCACCAGCTCTCCGGGAAGGTTTTTCTGTCGTTTTTGAAGGAAGGGCTGTCTGTCCCCTTTCCACGACGTCTGCAGGCGCAGCATTCCTTGGTGATGTCCACATGTCTCCGCAGTCCTGAGACTAGGAGGTTCTCAGCTCAGGCACCCCAGGCCCAAGGAAGGCACTCCACTCTTGGTGTTTCTCAGTGGTACTGGGGTGCCCCGCTATTCCGTTCCCCGTCATCTCTGTAAGACACAAAAGGGGGAGGGCACACCACACCCGGGAGAAACTCCGCTTCCCTGGGGTCTGAGCTGGGACCTGAGTTAGGCTGCTGCTCTCCATCCTAAGCCCCTAAACCTGACTGTGCCCCCATCACGGGGCACATGACATCATTGCCCTGGAAAACACGGCCCAGGCCCGCCAGCACACTTTGGGGCACAGTCGGAGCCATGGCAGGTGCTGTTGAGAGCGGGTTCGTAATTTCACGGCCCTGGAGCCCATGGGGGCTGGCAGGCTGCACCTGGGAGGTTCTGAGGCTGAATGAACAGCGTCAGGGGAGCAGACGGCCTCTTCTTTCTCTGGACAGCAGCTGGGAGGTTAGAACCTTGGGCCTCAACGCTGGCGGCCTGGTGCTGAACCAGTGGCACCACAAAAACGCCTTTCGATAGAATTAAGGGGCGGGCACAGATAAAAGCATGAAGTCTCCTCCCTCCTGCCTCCAGCAGTGCACCCTCCCCCAGGTGGACTCTGTGCACAGGTGAGACACATACTCCGGGGGGTGCGGGTCGGGGTGGTTCCCAGTCAGGTCCAGTAGGGCTCTGAGGGCTCCCTCCAAACCCAACACTACCTTCCCGATCCCATGGAGGCCCCAGCTTTGGGGGCCTGGGGCCACCCCCAAGGTAGGGAGGCCGGTCTAAAGGTGGAGACCCATCGGTAAAGCCCCACGGCCTTGAGTGGGCCCTCTGGTGGCCAAAACTCCGGGCTAGACCCCAGGCCTGCCCCTGCTTAGCGGGAGGTCAGTCAGGCGTGGACACGCCGGCCTCCTGCCCCACCCTCCCTAGCCCTGGAAGCGGAAGGAATCCCTTCGCCTCAGTGCCTGGGCACAGGACTCCGGGCCCAGGGCCCGGTGGTGCCTCAGTATACCCGCTGTGCACAAATGACTCCTGCTGCTGACCACTTGCAACAGACGGCCAGTCAAGAGCACCGGCGACCGAACCCGCGCTGGCGGGCCCCCTCCGCCTCCAGCCCCCC